TGTCCCAACAATTATTAATAATGTTTATCACTGAAATGGGAAACATTAATTAGTTCCTCATTCTTGCATCTTAATATGCATCAGGTTGATATCTTTGTGCTTGTATCCTAAATAAAGGCAAGCTGGTTTTCAGGAGTTATCTCCAAAAGTTTAAGTCTCTCTAAATTTGAAAGCCAAAAGCCTTAATTAAAAATGCAAAATTCTCTCTTCAGGAATATTTGACTTAAAAGAACTAATAACAAGTAAATAAAATATACAGCAAAATTGCCTAAGTGGAACGCAATAGATGTCTGATAAAAGCCTTCTCTAGATATTTTCCTGCTGTCCCAGTTATTCACCATAAATACTCCAGTGCATAGTTAAAAAAAATGCACATTGACTCTGAACTCTTATTTGCTTGTAGCTTGTCATTAGCAGTACAGTTGCCACTTTCTACTTGTCCCTCAGTTTAAAATAATCCATGATTCTTCTAAAGCGAGCAGGTAAGGCATTTCAGAACATGAAGGAGAGCAAAAAGCCGTGTGCCTCCCTACTTCTCAAGAGATGGAGAGCTGCTAGTAGCCAGAAGCAGGTATTAAGATAGGAAATGCAAGAAAGCACATACTCTGCAGTCACTTAAAGCAAACCTGTTACTGATAGGAAGGTGACACGGCATTACGGTCACGAATAAATGGTACGAGAAGATATTTATTTCCTATTGCCTTCACTTCAAAGATGCCAGCAGCTGCCTTTGCCACTGGTGGAAGTCAATGTAAATTAGCAAGACAGACAGCTTGGTTCTCTCTCATGTCTAGCTTACCCACAAGGTAAGCAAAACAGCAATTACATCACTGGATAGAGTCATTACATCAACTGAAAGAGCAGAACAGAAGCGTAAGGACTGCACAAATCAAGCAGCAATTTGTTTAAACACTGAAATGTCATACTGTGCCCTCTCAAGTCAGAGACAAGTTTCATCCTGCCTTGCAGATAAAGACAAAACCAGCAACATTAAAAAATCATTGGGGAAAAAAATAAAAACCAAAACCATAAACAATTAAAAAGCTTGGTAAACTTCCTATTACAGCTATGCAAATTACAAGACTATGAAAACAACCATTCCAGGAGACCTAGAAAAGTAATGCTTTATTACATGGTGCCACAACAACAGTGGTGTATTTAGAGAGGAATGAACTATTAAAATAAAAATCTCTTTAATCACATTTTATCCGGTATAACACTATCCAAAATCATCTGACCAGAAACTTTCTCCCAGAAATTCAGTTTGGCTGACCATTGAAAATGTATCTGTGGCCTCACTCTAGTTTCCAAAGATCATTTAAAAAAAAAAAAAAACAAACAAAAAACCCCCACAAAAACAAACAAGAAAAGCCTGCCCAAATCCTGCAATTAAGTATTAACTGGCGTCACGGAAAGTGTCAGTCACTCACCGATGCTCTTGAGGAAACACAGAGCAGATGACTGACTACGTGTGCACTCCCCTCCTCTTTAAGATTAGGGCTAAGAAAACACGTGAACAGATTTTTCATTCCCATTAACATGTTTCCTTCAGTGACCATATATGGAAGAAACCTCTAGGTATGGATTTCCTTCATGCCATTATATACTTCTCTCTCCTTTTTTCTTCCATTTTAATTTGCTCACCAAGCTTGCTATTTTACTGGGACAGTTGGCATTCTCAAGCACATTCTTCCTATACCAATCCATGACATTGAAACTCTTGCACATACCTTGAGCATAGACAGAAGGTTATATGAAACTACTGGAAAATAACCAAACCATGATTTAGATTCCTCATTTCCCAGGAGCTCCCACACAGAGCTGGAGCTCTGGGAATGTCCCATGGCAGTCTGCTCTGGAGACAGAGACGCTTAAAACCTGGGACTCCCAAACCTGAAGGTTCTCTCCAAAATGACAGACCTTGGAGAATATGAGCTATCGTGCCAACAGGTAATAGCATGTTTATTTCTGATGGAAGAGTTTTGGTGCCATACAGACCTGGTTTCTATAGGAATCTCAATCCAACAGGTAATAGCATGTTTATTTGTGATGCCATACAGACCTGGTTTCTATAGGAATCTCAAAGCAAATCACTCCTAGAATTTTTTTGCAATAAATTGTTTGCATTTTTCTAGCCAGCATTAGTAACAAAATTAGATTGATTATTTGTACAAAGAAGATGCTGAAATAAGATATGCTATATATAAGTATATATATTATATAAACTATTTATAATAATATGATACACTATATATAATTTTATTTCTAGACACACTTTCTAGGTCATATGCATTAGTGTCCTTATAAACTGCCAAGAGTTTTGCTTTGCTCAGGATTATGCAATAGGAACCAAAAGCCTTTTCCCAAAGCACACTTAAATAGTACAGTAGGCTTACCCACAATTAATTCTTCTGAGGAGGCCATAACTCAACAAAGATTTACACATCAAAGAAAAATAAGTATGCACATCTCCACAAATCAATGTGGGGTTTTTTACCCTCACATCAGAAGAAATACCACAAATTGCAATTTGTCTCATAGCATCTCTTCATTAAAGTTCCTGAGCAGCTAAAAAAAACCACCTTGAAGACTGCAAGGTCTCTGTTGAAGTGTAGCAACCTCCCCAGATAATGACTGAACCCTGCTTTTAACAGCGGCCTGCTAGTCCCAAGATCAGTCAACCCTAGAATTAGCTGTGAGCACCAAGGCTGGGATGATGCCGGCTCTGTCCCAAACCCAGTTCTTGGCCTGTACTGACCAGCATGGTAGGCAAGCACCCTGTTGGTGATCAGCCTAGGCTTGGCTGCAGCAGGACTATATGGTCACCCTGTAAGCTCACCTCATGGTCTATTAATCAGCATTCAAGTATCAGCTCTATGTTCACAGACTGAACTGGACTGGTGTGAATCCTTAGGCTACAGCACAAGGCACTGTATATTAAAGGGGAAGAAAAGTTGTTTAGGCTTGTCAGAGATGACATAAGGCAGCCTACATAGCACTTACAATATTTTAAAAGTATCTTTTAAAGATGGTAAGAAGTTTACCAATTTTAGCAGAGACAAAAGTGACTCTCTTGATTCTGCAGTTCTCATAAGCATCTACTTAAGGCAAGAAGGAAAGCAAGGTCACCGTAAAGTAAGATCATTTTATATTTCTACAGTTTGAGAAGAAAACACTGTATCTGTAAAATAAACTATAACAAAGATTATGTTGTAATCCTGTATTTTTAACGGTATGTTGTCTATTCAGCATATGTCAGAAGACAAAATTTTCGTACAGAAGCAATACCAAATAAAGAAAACTTCTGGAGAGATCATATCTGTCCAAGACAAATCAGTCTTACACTTTTCATGACAATGCACTCAATCCATACTTGCAAGGAAAATCCATTACTATCACACAGTCAAGATCTCCCGACATAAGTTAAAATTCAACATTTTCTCATTTCAAACTACTGCTCTTAAAGTGGATTTCTAGTGTTTGGACTCCAGAAGTTCTTGCTCTGAGATGGCAGCCTAACCATGCAATTATTGTCATTAGTGATGAACGATGTTAATGAAACATTCTTCTACCAAGTTAAGACTCTTTGTGATACATACAAGAGTGACTGTTGACCATTTTTATTCTGGAAAACCATCTCTCAAGAGATATGGAAAAATGTGGAGATCAATATATTACTATGTATTTGATTCAACATTTAACCAAGTACCTAGTACTGACTTTCAGAATGTCAGATAAGCTGTAACTCCCACATTTTATTTTTAAAATCCTCCATCATATGACAGTAAATTTTATGCAGCTGAACAAAGTTAGCAGATCAGAAAGTTCTTTTAGAAAGCAACTGTGTTAATTTAGCAAGCAATTGTGCTTACTAAACAAAACTTTGAAGAAAGAAAACGTGAACATAGCCAGAGTTCAGATCCAAGAGGGCCAAGAACTACCAGAAGCTTACTCGATCTGATGAATTGCCTGTCTGCATTTCAGCCAATGTATCTGGAAAAGTTACAGATGAAGAGGAGAGGAACAGCTGGATTTAATCTTACCGCTACGATGTCTAACACAATAAAATGATTACTGCAACATACAGGCCTTGGAGACAAGGTACCTCATTTTCGGCCATACCACCTACACCTGTGATCAAAATCTTGTCATATCATGGACAGGGCTTAACCATGTTCCATTATGCTCAATAATTCTGACCAGGCCCAAATAATATGGGTCGTGTCAGTTCTCTATAACCACAAGGCAAGGCCTTTGACTTCTTTGCAATATGCAGAGGAATTACAGAAGACGAATGAAAGTCAGAATAAGAGATTATACCTACTTCCCAGCCTTCTATCCCTAAATTTAGACTTTGAATTTACATCACATGCAAATCATATTTTGCAATATTCTTTGTCTGTGTATATATGCTATATATTTTAGCCTTAATATTTGCATTATATATTTATGGCACTATGGCTGCCCTCTCAGAATGGGCTCCTTTCCACCCAGCACAGAGGAGAGGAGACCAAGCTATTTTCCTACAGTTACCATTCAGACATATCCAATATGCTTCTGCATTCATCATGAGGGTTTTTTTCATTTTTTGCATTGTGCAAAGAGAAATTAAGAGTTTCAGATATCAAAAATAACACTATATGACACAAACATTTTTAACACTTAAGAGTCTTTCACAAGGCAATCTGGACTTTGAAAGAAACAGGTTTCCTTGAAAACAGACTACTTATTTTACAATAAAGTAATAAAGGCTATAGCTAACAATTACAGTAAAATGTTCTGAAATGCACATACCAGGATCTAACTACATGAAACATTAAGAGTAACTCATCTTGACTTCTCTTTAAAATAAGGATGAACTAATAAAAATTCATTTCGGGGGGAGCAGTGGTGTGATTTTTGTTTTGTTTGCTTTAATCAACACAGACCTTTTAATGAGAGAGACAGCTGGTACCATCTGTTTCAGTTTTAGAAAACTAAAACTTCTTCACTGTACTTACATGTGAGGACTGAGTTCATAAAAGTTTCGGTTTCTGTATTCTTCCACTTTTTCTGGAGTATAAATGGGTAGAGATCTGTAGGGGTTTATTGATATCACCACGCTGCCAATGTATGTCTGTTGAGGGAAAACAAAAAAATTATCATGGATTTCTCTTTTTAACATACTTTTGCTGCTTATATATTATTCTCCCATTTAATACTTATGCAAAAACAAACAAACAAAAAGCCTAATTGTAGCAATGAATAAATATGTACATAAACTCCGAAATGCCTTTTAGATCTCTCTCAACAATCACTGTTCGATACCAAGCAACAATTTCTACATAACTGAAAGCCTCTTATGAACATTTTCTAAAAGAAAGCCCAATCGGACAATATTTCTGTGACTACTTCAGTTGGGGGAGGGAAAGGGAAAAGGACACAGATGTTCTCGAAGAACAACTCCATCTGCATCACAAATGTCACACGAGCTTTGCTGCAGCCCTTGGGCACTCATACAAAACCACGTAAAGGCAAGGCCGGAGCTGGACTGCACTCCTTGACCTGAGGAGGAGCTTCATGCCATCTCTTCAAAGCCTTGGGCAAAGAAGAGCTTCACAGGGAAGAAACCTGAAGGCTAATAGCTTCTGACAGGTTTCTGTCAAAGGAGGGATTTACTGTCAGGATTCAAGTCAGTCGAAGTCCTGCCGTGGTTCCTCAGCAGACGTGAATCGTAATTTTTATTTCCAGAGTCCAACACACTTGCCATTACCCTTAGAAAGCAGATGGAGTAATGTGTTGTTTCATTCTGTTAGGTACCATTCACCACCAAGCTCAGTGAAGATCAATACTGTACACTATGATTATTATGTCAGCACACGATGCAATTAACCTGCCTTCATCAAGCCTACTGCCAGGTGCCCCGCAGCTCTCTACGCCTCCCTCCAACTGCAAGGGCTGCATTCAAATACACCCGAGTGGCAAAAAATGCCAAAACCCCATTCCACCCTGCCTGCAAATACTGATCAAAGACTAATTAAACTCCAAGTATTTGGTATCTCTTTCCACAACCATGAAATAAATAAATAACACCTGGTGAAATACGATTTTCCAATAAGCAGGGACCCCCTGGGGGGTGTAAAGGCTGTACACAAAAGCCCCAGGTTCCCGTTATTTGGATTACACTTGCTAGTAACTACAGAAGAAAACCAATGGGTTTTACATAGATCTATGATTTTAAATGGCTTCTTTACAGTGATACCTTAGCACCTCACAAACACTGTTTAGATTTCTCCCCACAATTTTGCACAGGCAAGCTGTGAACCCACATGGCATTTTCTGTCCTATTTAAAACAGAGTTGAACAAACTAGACTGCAGCGATAAAACACATAGCGTGAGGCTTCCAGAGACTCTCGAAGTTCATCTTTGTAGTGTTTACTACCCGCAGGATGAAACAGAAGCAGCCGCTGCTGACAATTCATTGTACAACTGCTGCTCTGATGAAACACAATACTTCACTAATTGGGCTCAAGACTCATCATTTCTAAACAACACATACTTTCTCCTCTCCTTCGGAACTGGCCAGAAACCTTGTGCAAAACATCTCCCCCCATGCATTTGAGCCCAGAACAGACCAAATACATTGAGGACAACTTCTTAAGCCAGGTAATAGACACCCCTACCCGAGGGGATGCAATACTGGACCTGGTGGTCACCAATGCAAGCGAGCTCGTCGGAGATGTCAAGATCGGAGGCAGCCTGGGCTGCAGTGATCATGCGCTGGTAGAGCTCACGCTCCTGAGGGAAATGGGAAGAACAAAGAGTACGGTCAGGACTCTGAATTTTAGAAAAGCAAAATTCCAGCTCCTCAAGGACATAGTCAGAAGGACCCCCCTGGAAACGGGCCTCAGGGACAGGGGAACAGAACAGAGCTGGCAGATCTTTAAGGATGTGATCCACAGAGCGCAAGAGCTCTCGATCCCTAGGTGTAAGAAATCGGGCAAAGAAGGGAAGAGACCGGCGTGGTTGAGACAAGAGATGCTGGTCAAACTAAGGAGGAAGAGGGAACTGCACAGGCAGTGGAAGCAGGGACAGGCATCCTGGGAAGAGTATAGGGACGCGGACCGGTTGTGTAGGAATGGGGTCAGGAAGGCCAAGGCGCGGCTGGAGCTAAACTTGGCTAGGGATGCAAAGAATAATAAGAAGGGATTCTACAGGTATATCAGCTGGAAAAGGATGGTTAAAGAAAGCGTCCCCCCGCTGATGAGCGAGACTGGCAAGCTGGTAACAGCAGATGAGGAGAAGGCTGAGGTACTCAACAACTTTTTTGCCTCAGTCTTCACTGGCAGCCTCTCTCCTCACCCCTCCCGAGTTGATGGATGGCATGAGGGGGACCGGGAGGGCAAAACCCCTCCTGCTGTAGGAGAAGATCGGGTTTGTGACCTCCTGAGGAACCTGAATGCACATAAGTCCATGGGACCTGATGAGATGCATCCCAGAGTCCTGAGGGAATTGGCCGATGTAGTCGCCAAGCCCCTCTCCATGATATTTGAAAAGTCATGGCAGTCAAGTGAAGTCCCTGGCGATTTGAAAAAGGGAAACATTGTGCCCATTTTCAAAAAGGGTAGAAAGGAAGACCCTGGGAACTACCGACCTGTCAGCCTCACCTCTGTGCCTGGGAAGATCATGGAACAGATCCTCCTAGAAGCTATGCTAAAGCACATAGAGGCCAGGGAGATAATTCGAGATAGCCAGCATGGCTTCACCAAGGGCAAGTCCTGCCTGACTTTCTTCTTTCATAGTGGCTTTCTATGATGGTGTGACAGCATCAGTGGACAAGGGAAAACCAACAGACGTCATCTATCTGGACTTCCGCAAAGCCTTTGACACGGTCCCCCAAAACATCCTTCTCTCTAAATTGGAGAGCTATGGATTTGATGGGTGGACTGTTCGG